CTGCGAGGCTTTCAGCAGCAAAACCAGGGAACTGTAAAGCCAAAAAATCAACAGGGTTCAGAGTATCACTTTCATCCATAGTTGTTTGCTCACTCAAGACTTCCATGGTTGATCCCCTCACAGTATTTCCGTGATAAGGAAGGTGCCGCTCATTGCTAACCAGTAGATTACTGTTGTGAACTGGCTTCTGCCAAGGTTTATTCGAAATTTGGAAAAGACTAGCTGCAGATGGGTCTTCTCCATACGAAGCAGTCGAGAATCTGAACCTATCAGCAAATTGATTTCCATTAAAGTGATTTAGATTTGAATGTTGCTGATCATTCAACAAATATTCACTGCCAACAGTAGCCGCGAATAAAGAGGCTTCATTGTCATCATGCAACGATAAGCCTGCCAACGAAATATTTCCAAGAGATAGGTTCTCATCTTCCCCCATTGACTTGAAATCAGGTATGATATCATCAGGGAGCTGATGCCTCCAGAATTGACGAGATTCGTCATCAGAATTATTAGACACAGATGACTCAGTCCTATCTAGAACAGCTTTTCCTAACGTCCCAGAAGACGAAAATCTTTCAGTCAAATCTGGCACACTACTACTTCCAACTGAAGGTGCTCTGAGAGCGAACGGAATAAACTCAGCGGCATTCGGATTCAAAGCTGTCACCTTGCTTCCAATGCTTAGGTTTGCCTCGTTGGTTTGCGATCCTTTCTTCGACACGTTCATTATTTGCTAATACAAAATAGAATGCTCACATGCACTTGAAAAAAAGAAAATCTGTAAGGAAATGCTCAAATTTCTATAGCCTCAACCAAAACCTGCAAAATATGATTTCACTCCGTCAGGCAAGTTAGAAACTCAAGTAAACCGAATTCACAACCATTTACAAGATATATTTGTTTGTTTAGAAAACAAGAAGAAGTTCGTTAGTTTCCAGACATCCTCTAATCTGAAATGAATTGAACGGCAAATATTCAATAGACCTCCATGGAGAAACTGTACGAATTATCCCCTAGAAAATTACGCATGGAATCGTCAATATTTCAAACTAGAAGAACCTGCATCGTTTAACTACAAATCTTGCATCGTAGACCACGAACATAAACTACCATACTTCATAACTGAGGTAACCAGTAAACCTTAGCCGGAAAATCTGAAAATACCCACAATAAAAAACGAAGCGCACAGAATCAGAATCTTGTAACTGAACATCCAAGTTTTAGAGATCTCGATAAATTCAATGCACAGAACAATCGGAACAAACAAGAAAAAAAATACAGAAATTTCCAAACTAGGCAAGGAATTATTGCTACTGTACACAGCGATGACCTAAAAATAAATCCATGGATTAGAAAACCAGCTAAAGAGAATACTCTCCTCTATACCTTTCCGAAACAAATCGAAGGGATCCATGGAAACGGATCGGATGAAGTCAGAAGGCTAGAGAATTACAGATAAGGCCTAACTTTTATCTTCAATTCAAAACTCTGCAACTCTCTCTCTCTCTCTCTCTCTCTCTCTCTCTCTCTCTCTCTCTCTTCAGTGCTCTTAACAGCTTTCAGAAATTCGTCTTCTCTCCCACTCCTCTCTCTCTCTCTCTCTCTCTCCCTCTCCCTCTCCCTCTCCCCTCTGCTCTCTGTGGGAGAAACCCTCTTTGGCTAATACCAGCTAACACAACCACCACCACCACCACAAAATATACATTTCAAAATGACGATTAAGCCCTTCGTCACTCAATTTGACCTTTTATTTTATTATTATTTTTATCTCAAATAAATTATAATTTGTTTTTTTCTTAAATAAAATCAATATAAATATAAATTTTTCAAAATTTTTGAATTTTTTGAATCGTAAAAAATATCAAATAGTATATTATTATGAAATAAAAAATTTAAATTAAATAGATAAGCCCGAAATTGGAATGTAAAAGGCTTTCACTTTTCTAAGCAAAACAAAACCTCCACTAATTCTTCTTTTTAATTATTTAATTTTGGCACGCATTTTATTTATTTTAAAAAAATCTCTAGATGCAATGAGAATGATAAATTTATATAAAATATAGATTCTTTACATTTTGCGCCGCTGTCCATCTAAGTTGATTATAAATTATTTTAAGTGTAAATATTCGGCCCATTTATTTCGGTCCAATTTCAAAATGTGAATTTTATTTTATATTATATAAAATATAAAATATTTTATTTAAGTAGTTATTAAAATTATTTCGCTTCCCTAAAAAAAAACCATTAATAATTTATTGAGTTAGTAGTAGTAATAAAACTTTTTATTATAATTAAAAACAATTAAGAAGAAGGGCATTGTTGGAATGATCCAAATTATTTAATGAAATCTAATAACCCCGATCGAGGGGAAGTGGGTTGCATATCCACACTCAAAACGTGTTTGACGAGGATATAAGGTTCGGGGTCATAATGACATGACTAATAATAACTTGTCATTGTACGTAACGCCTATGACCAACAATTTTGAATAACGTACACGGATATGTACAATCAGTGAATAAATGTCATAACTGTCGTGTAGCGTCATAGTGTATTAACAGATACATTGGATCGATATCTAAACTATTTTGTCGCAAGTAATCATAACATTGTTCACAGCTGATCATTCGAGTAATTTAAGAGTAAAATAAAATATTAATGGAACTTTCTTTTTACCAAATGGGACGTGTTATGTGAGAATGATTTATTTTAAATTAATTTAGGTTTATTTGGCATTCATTGCGTCTCTTGGTTTACATCAAAGGTCATCTAGTTGTTTTAAAAACATAAAATTCTCTCTTTTTATTTTTAAATATATATTTTTTTAATAATTTTTTTTTTTAAAGATGAATTTGAGAAATAACGATGAAATTAATTATAATCTATTTTTATTTATCGAATGTGCGGGCTATTAACGGGTTGTCTTAAATATATATTTTTTAATAGTTAAAATTTAATAATTATTAAATAATATTAAAAAATAATATAGTGGATATCAAGGGAATGAAAACAGGTTTCATCGGGCAATTGAAAGTTGCTTCAGTATTTATAGCAAAATTACAAAAGAGGGTTGACATTTGTTGGGCCAGAATTTTGATAAATGGTATGGGCCGGGTGGCCCAATTCTACAGATCCACGCCCCGCTTTTGCGGCTATAAACGAGCGAAACGGTATCGTTTTATCAACACTCTATTCCTGCCATGCAGTCACTTGAGGGTCGCCACTTGTTCATGTGGGGACCACAACTACTACTACTACTACGCGCATCTCACGCGCTCCGTCAACTCCATTTCTCGAGTTTTTAACTCTTTCGATTTAATAGATTAATAAATTGAGATAAATATTCCAACTTCAAATTTAAAATTTAAAATATTTAATAATTTTCTCATGTGTTCAATAAATTATAGACGGATGACAAAAAAAAAAAAAAAAAAAACTTATTTGAATTTTTTTTATTCGTAATTTAAAAAGAATTTAATAATTAATTTGGGTACTAAATACATACAAAAACTTTATTTTATTGAAATTAATAATTTTCTGAGTGGGCAAATTGGAGAAGTTGAATTTAGGGTAAGTTTTGAAATACTTATTTAAGTTTAGGGTCCATCTTGAAAAGTTAAAAATTTTTAATTTTCTCTCCTCCATTAAAATTTAAATAAAAAATAAAAATTTGTCTTGCCGTATTAAAATTTATAGATTCCCCTCTTGTTTATTTTCGGACCAATTTTAATATTAAACAATTGACATGAAAATATGATGAAATTATTATTTTGGTCCAAAGTTAAGTGCTATTCTATTTTATACTTTTACTAAAGTTTAAAATGAGTTATTATTTGAATAAGTAATATTAATAATTTTTTTTATAAAAAATTAGAATGGGAATATAATTTCAAAAATTGTAAAAAAAAAATAAAAAAAACCTGATTTTTTAAAATTTAACCATAAAATAAAATTAGATATAAAATTTAAAAAAAAAACATGGAGATTAGATTTAAAAATAATAATATTACGTCAACTAAAATAATAGTTTAAATTCAACCAGACATATATTTTTAACAATAATAAAAAAGAAATAGAGTGGGTAGAAGTGCATTTTGGTAATTGGAGGCGGGCGACTGTGGTACAAGCGCTTGGGAAAGCGAGTAAGAGAATAAGGGAAAGAGGACAAAAAATGAAGAAGCAAGGACGAGAGGGTTATTATCAGACAGCTGGCAGAAAATGGCAATTTGGGAAGATGAGAACAAAACAGGTTTCAAATCGGCCGCGATTTTTCGAATCAAAATCCCGAAATTTGGTTTATTTTATTTTATTTAAATTTAACCCATGTATAATATATTTATTAATTTAAAAAAAAATTAAAATTGCTTCGATACAAAATTATTTGTTTTTTAATACAAAAATTAAAGGATATTTAAATCCTTATGAAATAAATACATGTTAATTATTATTTTAGGCCATAAAATTAAATGTTGCAAAATTGTTTTAACCAAATGTTAAATACAAAATCGGAAGATAAAGAGATTTTTTTTCCATGTTTTTAAAATTTTAAAGATCCCTACCATTGAAGTTTTATATACTAAATTTTTGTAGATTAACATTTTCATGATATTGAATGAGATTGGTTTTCGTCTTCAAACCTCTTAATTTATATTATTGTTGTGTTTCGTTTTTAATGTTATTTTTAAATCATTAATCTCCAACTTTAAGTGATCAAATTTTACTATAGTGTGAAACTATTATTTACGGCAGATCTTTTGTCTCGACTTTTTTTTACTAATAATCCAATTAGCTATTGAATTAAAAAAAAGACATAATCACAAAACATTATAATAAAAGTTTAATGAAACTTCTTGATTATTTTTAAAAAAAATTATATTAAACAGTTATTTTTTATAATTTAGTTTAATATTAAAGGCGACTTAGGCAATGACGTGGAAGAATTGTGCAGTCACGTTGCTTGGGCGTCAAAATTCTAAGGCATCGTCTATATAAATCCAAAGGGAAGCCCATTTTGACAGGTGATGAAGCCTTCTTCGTCTTTCTTCTCTGTTCTCTCAACTTTCCGGTTTCAGTGAGAGGCAAATAGGAGCAATTGAGGCTCTGAAATGTATGTGATATTTTGGAATCTGCTCATCGAAGGCGAGAAAGTGACGGTGAGAGAGTGGGAGAAGGAGAGATAAAGAAAGAAAAGATCCGATTCAGTATCAAATCATCAAATTCAAATCCATTCACATCTTTTATCCAAATCAAATCAACTTTTTCTCGGAATTCCATACCTTCTTCATTAATATTGTCGAGAATATTACGGAAGAGATCAGAAAAAACGATCCGAAACATCCAGAGAGAAAATTCCAGGTAAGCTTGAATTTCTGTTGAGTTGTTACCTTCACTTTTTCCTGTCTTTATTAGATTGTTAGTTTGGGATTCAAAAAAAGATACCGTCCGGATCTTGTTTGGATTCTGAACTTTTGCAGTCATTGGAGCAGAGCTTGTTGGAGAAGACAACAATGGCGGCGAAAGTGACGAAGGCGATCTCCGGCATCGAGCAGATGGCTCTGGTGACGCAACACAACGCGCAAGTAATCGACGTGGAGTCTGTAAAATGCGAGTGCTGTGGATTGACGGAGGAGTGTACCCCAGCGTACATCGGCCGTGTGCGCGAGCGGTATGAAGGGCGTTGGATTTGTGGACTCTGTGCGGAGGCTGTGAAAGACGAGTCTCTCAGATCTCAGAGCAATATCACCACCGGTGAAGCCGTGAAGAGGCACATGAAGTTTCACAAAGCATTCAAATCTTCAATTCCTCCTCTGAATCCGACTGAGGATTTGATTTCGGCTATGAAACAGCTTCTCCGGCGATCACTCGACTCTCCAAAGAAGGACGCTTCGCGATCGCTTGGCCGTTCCAATAGCTGTTTCTCCGCCATGCCGGGACGGCGAAGTCATTATGATTAGACGCTGGCTGCCGTTCACGGCGAAAAAAGAGCGCCATATCTCGTGGATGTTAGCCTAAATTTCAGTTGTAAAATTTTTTGTTAGCGGTTTTTAATATCTTGGAATCCGGAGAAAATTCTCCTATTAACTAGGGACCTTGAACGATAATTGAATTTTTGCACTTGCATGGCTACAGAGATCTTTTAGTCGATTTTATTTCTATAATAAAATGAGGTACGATTGTTATTTAATATTAAATCATCCTATGGAAATTAAGTATCCCAAATATTTTTTTGAACCTAAACAATCGCATAATAGACAGCTGAATAATGCATATTTATTCCGTGTCTTACGAGAATGATGGAAGTGATGCTTTGTGGGAGGCTAGAGGTAAAATGTTGAAATTTTAGGCTCCCAAATTTCAATCTAACCCAATTTGAACTACTTTAAGACTTTGAAACACATTTGGTAGGTTGTATTCCTTTGACATTGTTCAATAACCTTTTCTATCGGTGTCCCAACCCTCATTGCATAATAGGAAGAATACTTTGAAACATATCCGATATAGGTTTTGGAACACATTTGGTAGGTTGTATTCCTTTGACATTGTTTAATAACCTTTTCTATCGGAGTCCCAACCCTCATTGCATAAGAGAAATAATACTTCGAAACATATCCGATAGATTGTGTTCCTTTGACACTGTTTAATAACCTTTTTTTTTTATCAGTGTCCCAACAACCCTCATGTTATAAGAAGAGAAGACTAGTTGTAAAATTAGACAGTTAAAAAGGAAGTATGAAAGCAACTTCCGATAAGTTGGAAGTGACTACTCAGGTGGAGGAGGAGGAGGAGCATCTGAATTCTAGTTGTCCCTTATCCCATCACATGCAGAGATCTTTTCTTTATCAAACAAAATCAATTGGAAGAATTGCTAGGCTGCTTTTTCTTTTGTTCTCGTCTTTGGGTAAATAATTTTATCAATGGGTGATAAAAACTTTGTTTTCAGAGAGGATTGAAGTACAAATGAAGCAACTGGATGGAACTCACAAGAAGATACCAATATCTATGCTATGCTCATATAGACAAGCATACAGTAATCAACAGTGCTACGAAATAATTTTAAATAATTGTTGTATATAAAACAGATTCCAACTCTTAAAAGCTTCGTGTTACCAAATGGTCTATGATTTCCTACGATCAACATCATAACCACCGCACAATCATGGCCGCCAAATTGCCACGTTATGCTTTTCCTCTCTCTCCCTCTATCCTTCCGCCAGCACCACCCCACAAGTGTATTAATATGGTTAACAATTCGTACTAAATTCATAAACATATCATGTTGGCTTTCCATTAAATTTGGGAAGGTATTCACTTTGTGCAATCCAACACTCTATCTAAAGTTCGAATCTATCTCACAATAATATTTTGAGCATTAAAATAATTATTGAAAATTTGTTCGTCCAATTCTGTACTCAAGAAAGAATTAGTTAAAGGTTTGAAAAAAAAAAAAGGAAAAAGAAAACCCTTCTCCTCATTGAGAGATTGTTTGGGTGGGAGATTGAAAGTCATTCATGAAATCTGACTCTATATGTTCCAACAGAGCATAGTCAGATATGACTAAAATTCATGTCCTCTAAATCTAAACCCCAACCACAAACTGACATAAGGGTCTTTAAAGCGGTCCATACGATATCAATAAAAATTATGATTTGCCTAAAAGAAATGCATGAAAAACCAGACCCAAACACATGCCATGGTTTCTCTCTCTCTCTCCGGGCACTAGCAGATCTAAAGCCACTGAACACTAACTGGTCTGGAAATGGGAGTCCTGATATAAAACGGCCCAGTGCATGTGCTCTGCTAGGTGCTCCGGCAGAGTCAAATTAGGGAAGAAAAGGAAAGAGGAAAGCAGAGTTGGGGGGGTAGGGCCATGGAGTTGACAGTCCTAAGGCCAATAGGGGCCTGGTAGTTGAGGCACTCGTAGCACAAGCAAACAATGAAAAATATGTCCAATCAATTAGTAGAAGAAAAAGGACAAGGGGTGGCTGGTACCAAGCACATGAAAAAGGCATCCCATTCAGCCCCACCCGTCTAACCTGTGTTATTATGCCTAAAAAACAACACCTTATGCAAAAGCAGACAAACTCACCTTATTCATTGTGTGAATCACGAAAGGCCTGCCTGAGTTGAGTTGGTGTTGATCTTATCGCCAAAGTCTCTGCCTTCTATCTCCCATCCTCCAGAGGTTTCCCTACATTTTTACTGTTTCGTATGTAGAATATTACTTGTTCTAAAAGTTAACGCATTAAAAGATATAAATTCTTCCAAAGACAATCGAATCTTGATGTTTCAACTCTTTTTCAAAGTTCCAATCTGTTCAACCCAAATATGTGTGCACAAACAAACCCAGATTTCCCAATTTCAAGTTACCCTTCATAAATGGGGGGACCAAAAGACAAAACACCTTTTTCTTTTCCAGGGTTCATTAGCTAGATTTGACGTTCAAACAGCTAGGATGCAAAATCAAGGCATCAACATGTCTTTATAATTATATGAATAGGTGCTTGTCTGTGTCAAATCCCTCCGCAGTGAGACGTGTGAAAGTTGGTTTACAGCAAAACTATTCTTTCCCCAATCATTATCTGCTTTCTCAAGTTTGCATACTATAGCAAATACTACTACTCCTCCGAAAGTTCCCATCTAAATTCAAATGCTTTTCACCATTGATTCTTAATGGTCAAAGTCCGAGAATTTTAAAGCTTTTATCTGTTTTTAAAAACAATGATACATGTTAACTTTATTTTTCCCAATTCAAATTTTTTTTCTTCTTTTTTTCCCCTAAAATCCTCGCCAAAATCTGAAAACTAAACAGTTGTTTATTTTTTTCCTTTTTGAAAAAGTGAAACTAGAAAACTAGAAAAAAAAAAAAGAAAAAAAAAGTAGGTACAATAGCTTCAAATTTCATTTTGGAAGACTGTAAACCCAAAACAAAGCAAAAAAGACAGCATTTGTAATTTAGTTGAGAACAATTTTGAAAATCTAACAAGTAAAATGGGGGAGAATTTAATTTCAAATTGAAATGGCTTATCTGAAAAACTGGGTCCACAGAAACGGCAGCATGCTTATCTGCAACGGGAAGCGATCGCCTCCATTGATATAGACCACCGTCCTATCCACAGACTGAATGGCTAAAGCATGTGCTGCAATTGCGGCGGCCTCAGCTATCAACCTTGCAAATGATCTGGGATTGGTGATACGTGCTTTTTTATGGAAATTGGAATTATCAGAAGCCACAAACGAATCCCACTAAATTGAATAAGAAAGTACAAGATAAGATAAAATTACGTTGTCAAATCAGAAATTTGGAAGACAATATCCATCACTAAACGTAACCACACAATTTTCAAATCAGACCTGGTGCAGTGTGTGGCGAGAATGTCTAATCTGAACTCTCAGTCAACAAATATCGTAATAAAGTAGAAACATGCAAAAAGTTGGAAGCATCATTCTATGTGAGGGTCTCTATGACATATAATATTAAAGCTGCGTGTACGCTTAGCAATGATAAATTGATAATGAACAGCGCATAAAGTAGCATACAGGAATTCTGATCAGGCCGCTCAATCTTTTTCTGCAATGTATTCCACCCCTGATCACCACTTGAGAGACTGCTAAATTCTCTATCATGTTAATCAGAGAACAGTGAAGAGTCAGTAACCACGTAAAACAGCAGATCATAAAATCATATCAACAGAACGGATGGTCGTTACCCTACGCACAACAATTGCTCAGCTCCTATTTACACGCCCTCCAAAAAAAATGGGGGAAATAAATCTTGTAAAGGAAGGCTTGACGATGGAGGCACATCCATTGACTAATTCGCTATGGCTGATCTAGACTTCTCAAGGAAACCAGTTCACCTTCTTGTTCTTGGTTCCGGAACCTTGAATTGTTGGGGAGCCATCTTCGAAGCTTCTCAGGCCAAAACCTGGTTAAAATATGCAAAAACAAGTAATCTTATTTGAGACCAAATGGACCAAGAAAGCTTTTCCCCCCCTTTACCTTGGGCCCATACACATCGTATCAGGGACTCAAGACTATGAAAATTGCATGAGCAAAATATTCTCCATTCATTTGTTTGAACTTATCCGTCACTGAAGGCCAAAGTCCCGTGACAGTAACTACATGATGAAGTACTTTCAGATACTCGCTAGAGTTTACTAACCATGACTTCAGCTACTATCACTATCCATTGCCAAAGTATTGAAGTGATAATTCAGACATTTTTCATCTTGGCCCCAAATTACTCTGTTATTAAATACAAATTTTATTTCTATACTAAAAGTTAAAATCCCTTAATATAAGCTCTGCAACGAGATGGTCAACAGAATTTAAGAAAAAATAGCATTAAGAGATAGCGGACACATTAGTTTTATAGTGAAGGGTCATTAACGTCATTCATTTTTCCTGAAGAGCAGAAGGGGGTATTAACAATCCTATACCTAGTAGAATTCCATGATGATAATTTACTACAACTATAGCGATGGATAAATACAAATGAAGCAGAGAAAATATACAAACATTTGGATGTCCAATTGTAAGAGAAGATATAAGGAGCAGGTTTACTTACAAGTCTAATCTTTCATAAATTGCCCGCCGTACAGAAGAATTCAGACCATATGCTATTGAATTGAACAAGCCCTACAGCAAATAGGCAATCACATCTCATAAATTTGTGGAAGTTAAACGAGAGCTACTTATGAATCATCCTTCCATCATTATTGATTTTTGAGTTATTAATAAAACCAATAATGAAAAAACCTATGCTATCTTTTTACGTCAATGACATCTCAAAACCTCCTTAAAACCCCACCGAGCATTCAGAATCATATACTCAATTAAACACTATTTTCAAGAATGAAAAAATTGGTTACCATTAGTGAAGCCATCCCAACATCAAGAACTGACAACCAGAAGATTTTATGACCTGGCTCAATAAAATCATGAATGCGGCTGATTGTACCAAAAGCCCATGACCCTATGAGGATGAGCGGATAATATCCCCATCTGTTTAAAGCCTGTTAGATGGGTAGAAATGACAAAGAATTTAAGGTAACTAATCAGAGTCCACGTAAATGCTTTAAAAAATAAATTTATACATATACACATATATTGTTGCAATGATGGCAGACTAAAGTATGATTCTGGATTACTGACAAGACGACACATTGAGTGCCTATAATTTAGTATTTTAGACAATTTTCTTAATTTATTCATTCAGGTGTCCTTAAAGCTCGTGTGAAGAGAACCAAAAACAAAACAATCATCTCCCCTAATGAAAAATAATAATGTAACAATCTTTATTCAGTCTAGTTCTTAGGACATTCCTTTTCTCTCTCTGCCATCATTATTCTTTTGGATCTCTTGAAATAACATCAAAGAAAAGAATGAAAATCAAACCTTCATGTCTGCTCTAGCATCTGACTGGTAAGCCCTATCTGAGATGCCAACTGCCATCTAGAAATTCCACAACAGAAGGTTTTATGAATTGCAAAGATGATCACGGCATAATATTCTTCAGAAATGATTTGAGTACATACACGGGTAGCATTATTAAGCATGCGTATCACTTGAAGGTAAGTAAACCCATTGTAGAGAATTGCACCCCAGAGTGGCATGTAAAATGTTATAAAGTGAACAGCCTGCATGAAAGGACATACTCGAGTAAGAGCAGCATGAAAATGCAATCACAACTAAAGTTGAAAATTTATAATAAATAAGAAATAGTCTTATCTTTTCTAGTGTTAGACACAAATCATGATCTTTAACTATTTCTAGCAACTACAATTACGTACAAGTTAGAACCTACAATGAAGTGGATTGTATATGAAGATGGAAATTTTATTCTTTATGATGAGTAAATTTCATGTTAACTGCATTTCTAAATGAAAATTGTGAGTGGAATGGAAGAAAACTTAACAAGTTCCCATGTTGGAATTTACCTAATTATCCTGGGTTTGCAGTACAATACACATTTTAATTGCAGTCTCATTCCAAAGAGATATTTGCATCCCAGTAACCAGCTATAACTAAAAACAGTCTCGCTTGAAGGAGCTGATTCAAAGTTACCCACCTTTCCTGTACGACTAGACTGTGCCCAACACCAGGTACCCAAATGTCCATGGTTATTACCAATTGAACGTATAACAGTCAACACTAACGATGTTCCTGAAATAAAATAAATATTGAAATTAGCATCCAAAATTATAAAATAGGTCTAATAGCTCGTACATAGAACAATATTAGTTGCAGCAGTACTAGTTTGGGAAACCAAAAAAAGACCAATTCAATGGTGTAACCGTTTGTCATAACCAATATTTAAATTGTATGGAAAAGAAGTAAAAACCAAAAGCCATATGAGATGCCATAAATGTAACAGCTGAATTCGTACCCCATACATATAAGTGAAACATAGCCTCCAAATCTTCAACGTCGGTTTTGTGTCTAACAACAGTACGGTGAAGAGTGAATGCAATTGTTGTGGTCCACAAGAACGATGCCACACAAAAGAAATGAGTGCTATAGCCCTGAGTATAACAGTAAAATCCCGTTGCCGGATCCCTAAATTCAGAACAATATTCATCAGTAAAAAGTTTTGGAACTTGAGTGAATCCATTTGGTGAAGATGACGCCAGGAATCCTACCCAATCATAGTGAAGAAACTGCAAAGCATATCCTGCATCCCAGTAAATTGCGATTAGTAAGCAAGCATTTTGCAGCTAAACATATTAGCTGACAATTAGAGGAAGTCTGTGGCGCCAGAAACTGCCTTTTCCGTGTAGTTCTATTTCTAATTGAAAATATGTTCATTTCAGTTCGCAGGAGGAGAAAATCAAGCGGCACAGTGATCATCTCATCACATGTACTTGTTAATAAAATATTAGACTAGCTGGTCAAATTTCACTGTTATAATGTGTCTCGGAGAACTTAAGATTAATGGACTGTCCATGGCGCCAAATGTAATCAGCTTATCTACTTTGTTCGGCGCACGCAAATCTGGCGGAATATGGAGTGGTTTTACTGATATTTATGAATTACTAGCAAGCAGACAAAAATCGTGAAGTTACTGAGCCTAGTGCTGCAAACAAATTTTAAAGATCCATCTCCAAAATGTATTCCGGGCACCAAAAATTGAGGATAGAAGTAAGCAGTTTGAAATCAACCAAAACAATCAAAACTAAATCAAATTTGGTAAAATAGTCTTCACCGAAACACCCTAGTAGTAACGATAGACGCTCCAAAAAGAGACGGTGATCAGAATCTAAAAGTTACGGCAAGGTAGATACAAGACAAGAATCCTAAATTTCCAACGCTGCTCACATGAACTAGTAACTACAAAGAAATTCGCGGCTTCGTCATTCAAATCTCTAGTCAAGTTCAATTGCAGATTCAGTGTAGTTTAATCTTCACGGTCAATAGTCGAAATCAAATAATTAGAAAACCACTGATTCTAGCTACGATTTGAAACGACGAAGTAGTAGATCTAAGAGAAGTAGAGAGGAAGAGTGTGCGTACAGAGAGTGCAAGATAGAAGACAAGCTTGTAGGAGAACTTGCGAAGTTCTTTGAAGAGGACGTAACACAGCACTATGAATCCTGATCCCACGAACGAAAGACTAGACGCGCCGGCAATAACCGCCGTGAGAACTCGATCGCGGCCGATAATACTCCCGGCAACTCTCACACCGACTGCCATTTTCCGGCGTCGACACTACTCGATTTCAATCTCCCGGGAGAATCACCAACGAATAAGCGAGTTCTCGAATCTAAACTCTTGCGTTTCCGCCGGTTTGTAAATTTGCGGTTCCCTAATCGCGCCAACACACACAATTGTTTCTTTACTATTCCTTCATCTCATTCGTGTGCCGTCGAGTTGGTTCACGCGTTTTTACGAACCCATGTCCGGTTCAGATCGATAATATTATCCGAATTCCGAATCGCCATCATTACCCAACTTTTAAATAGACATTTAATCCGCATAAGCGAATATATTTATTTATTGCTTTCACTTACTTTAATTTAATTTTTTATAAAATATCTTCATAGACATTATATTATAAATTTAGTTTACGAAATATTATTGAATATATTACGACATTTTATATTTTACAAAATATATAAATTATTCGTTAAAAAAGTTTATTTATTAAAAATAACTATAACGATAAACTATTCTTTCTATTCTCGTGAATACTTTCGTGAGAATGAATATTGAAACATGTGGCGAAATGAAAATAGGAAAGTCAACTTCACCTACCTATAGACCACTTTCCCATTTTCTACAACATGTTCGGAAAGTTTGGGTTATTACACCTCGTCTTTTACGAATTGATGTTGACTTTATTTATTAATCAATAGGCTAAAATTATAGTATTAAATCAATTGCAGTCAATAGGAACTAATAAAATTCATATTAAGTGTTCCAGTTGACATTCCGAACTGAAAGTCACCTAACTAATGTCAGGTAGTTTTAGATTATTATTTTTGTTAATTAATCAATCTGTTATGCAAAAAAACATTTAATTATGTTTTTTTTTTTTAACACTAACAATTTTATGTACAAGTATTCCGTACATTTCTCAAGAACCTTCTTCCATTCCCTCAAAATTCCTACCAAGGACGAGAAGAAAGGTTCATACAAGAATAACAATAATAATAAAAACAAATTTACAGGGATTTACTTCATCATACAGAGATGGGCCTCCAGTTTTTCCAATTCAGGCCTAGGCCCAGCCCACCAAGCCCAAGCACATCCCCTTCAATAACTCTCCCATCTCTTCCCTTCTTCTCCTCCTCCCCGCCGCAGTCCTCCACCACGTAAACAAACGGCTCCGTGCACACGTCGTTAAAGTCTTGCAAAGACTTCAACACATTAACGACTTCCGTCACGGAAGGCCGTCGCTTGGGGCTGCGGCTCAAGCATTTATGAGCTAAGGCGGCGGCCTTACGAGCGCCGTCGGCCGAGTACATGCCCTCGAGCTTTGGGTCCATGATCCGGTAGAGCCGTTTCGAGTCCTTTAGAAATGGCTTAGCCCAGTCCACTAGAAACTCGCCGATCTTTCGGTCCATTGACCGCTTCCCCGTCAGCAGCTCTAGTAGAACGACGCCGTAGCTGTACACGTCACTCATCGTCGTCAAATGGCCTGATTTAAAGCGGTAAAGTTATATCCAACCCAATAATTATCCGATAATTAATTAAAAATTAAATTAACTTACCAGATTTGACGTACTCAGGAGCGGCATAGCCTTGAGTTCCCATAATACAAGACGTGTCTGGTTGGTCTTCACAGTCAACGTCATCTTTAGCTAACCCAAGATCTGAAAGCTTCGTTGTATAATCCTGAAGAACACAAATATTAATTATAATATTTAGTTTCTAATCTTGTATTAATCTACTAAACATAAAATTAACAAAAGATTAAGGACTTACAGAATCCAAGAGGATATTAGAAGTTTTGAAATCCCTGAATATAACGGGTGGATCGGCTTCGTGTAGGAATTGAAGGCCTTTGGCTGCTTCTAAAGCAATTTTCATCCTCGTTGACCAAGGTAAAGCAGCTGAATACTCTGCGATTAATTCAAACTGTATTCGTTTAGTTAATGATAATTAATTAATTAATTAATTAATGATTAGTTTCTAAACTGCGCTTACTTCTAAATAGCTGGTTTTCTAAACTGCCTCTGGCCATATACTCGTAAACCAAAAGCCTGTAATCTTCTTCCCAACAGTAACCGATTAGTTTCACCAAATTTTGATGCCTCATTTGCCCTAGAATTATAATCTCTGCCTACGAAATAAATAAATAATTGTAAGGGACAAATTCGTAATTTTACCCGAAGAAAGGAGCAGTACATTTAAAGCAACCTACCAGCCATTCTTTATGGCCTTGGGATCCATGGAGGTCGAGCAATTTAACGGCGACCGGCTGAGCTTCCAAACCCGGTTTGATTTTATCATCGACGAAGCCTTTGTAGACCGGACCGAACCCGCCTTCACCAAGCAAATTGGACGAAGCGAAATTGTGAGTGATGGTTCGAAGTTCCGCAAAGGAAAAAATATGAAGCTTCGGTCCGACAAGAGAATTCGACAAGTCGTCGATCGACAAGACCGAACTCGGGTTACTGGCGTCCGACAGCGACAGCCTCTGCGACGAAGCTTTTTTAGAAACCTGCCGCCGCTCGTCATCGTCGGACTCCGATAGACGGCGGAGCGCCGCCGTGTAGCAACTCGGAACGATCATCGATTTCCATGTCAACTTCCTCTTCATACCCATAATCGCATCTGAATTCTGAAACGAATGGTATAATTATCTTCCTTTTCTAAAAATGGGATTTTAAAATTAAAACTGAAAAAAAAAAAAATTGGGGTATCTTTCTTTTCACTCACCTACTCCAGAGGGGAAGTGGTATTTATAGAGATTGGGTTTGCCACGTGGCTTCATATGGGGCCCAATTCCATGGAAATAATTAAAAATCTCAAGTCTATTAAATTATTGGAATTTTGAAACAGGAAGCAGCTTGCTATTTTCCTCCACGTTGAATTTGAGAGAGGAACAAATAATTCATTTAATGCGTTTATACTCAATTAAAAAACATTGCCTTTTTTTTCCTCTTTTTTTTTTCCAAAAATTAAAAACAATTGGGAATTTGATGATTTTCCACGTTTAAAAAGATAATTAATGCTATTCTAAAAATGTCATTAATTATATTAATGGAAGGGGGAGAAATTAATTAATTGAATTATATTTATAAATGAAACACCTAACCTCAAGAAAGCTAAACTTTATTTATTTAATTAATTTTTAAATTTTCTTTCCCTATCTATATATTAAAAAAATTCCCCTCCTTTAGCTTGTTCTTTATTATTTTTATAGCTTCAATTTTTCTCTTTACAACCTTATGCTTGACATTTAATGCATTTATAATCTATATACGAATTTATGCGGTTAATGTTTTCTAAAAACCATATGAAGAGCGGCTTATAAGTTTGGAGTGGACATTAAATATGAATATCTTAAGTAGAATTATATAGTTGTATACGTGTCATGTGTTAATTTAAATGCGTGACGCATTATGTGGCATACACGTTGATAGTTTATATATATATATATATTATTTATTAATAAAGTGCATGAAATTTGATGTAGAATTAATACGATTCAAGTTGGGTATTCTGGTTGGTAGGGTAGGGATCCGGTAATCGATAAGGATAAGTTTTTTATTTTATTTTATTTTTTAATTTAATTTTGTTTTGTTCTGAAAAAATAATAAATAAAAGTACAACTGTAGAAGAAAGTGTTTTGCTTATTGTTTAATTTTTAATTTTATTATCCATTATAAATTCCGAATCCAAACACCTCCTTTCTCACGCCATATTCGAGCCTTCCCAGAGCGGCCTATATTGGGTTATAAAACTTAGGGTTATATTCAATTATTTAATATGTGTGACATAAATTAATTAAAATTTCGAATTAAATAAGTGTAAAGTTGGGGAGTCCAAATAATATATATATATATATATATACACACATTTTTTTCAATGAATCGGATTGGTGATATTTGGATTATTAAAAACCTAATTGAATTAAATTAAAAATGGGGGTAGAGATGAGATGGAGAATTATTTGGGTAGATTTTGACAAACTTAAGTTTGATTGCGTAAAACGCAAGAAATTCTAGAACCAAAGTTGGGAATTTAATTAATTAATTTATTTATTTTGAGTTGGTGTTAGGTAATAGATATTAAAGGGTTAAACTAATTATATATTTTAATTTCGGATGCCAATATAGGGTGATTGAAACCAATATAAATTAGATGAAATGAGTCAAGAACCAGTCGAGATTGACGATTTAAGCAAGATACGTGAAGTTATTAGAATTGCATGAACTATGTATTGATCGATCATAACGTGCAAGGAGTAGTTTGTGGTCTTTTTCGACTATGCAATTGAGATCAAATATTGACAATTCTCACTCTCAGATAGTGAATAAGAGTCTCGAGTAGCATAGTGTATGAGCGTGACATTTGAATAAATGAGGAGTATATGAATGAAACAAGACCACTTTTGTATGAGTGTAATCATTGTTGGATGATAAAAGTCCCACATCGGCTAATTTAGGGAATGATCATGAGCTTATAAGTGAGGAATACTAACTCCATTGGTATGAGACCTTTTGGGAAGTTCAAAGCAAAGCCATGAGAGCTTATGCTCAAAGTGGACAATATCATACCATTAGGGAGAGTCGTGTTCGTCTAACAATCATGAGGATAGGATAAAAACTCCATAATTAAACATGTTTTGCTTAAAGCAATTATATTTTGGGTGACATTTTAAAATTTTTTATAAGATACATGTGAGTGAGGACAAAATATGTTGGAAAAACTCGTGTTTGTTTGTGAAGATTATCTTCACCCTTAAAAAGTGAGTTGCATGGGAATGTTAAGATCATCATGGGTAAAATCTTAATTTCGAATCTTGGACATAAGTCGTTGCAACTAGGGAATGCGAACATAGGGTTTTTAATATGTCCATTAAATAGGGCAAAATTAATTGATATTTAATATGTTTCCATAATTTAATTAAATAAATATAAATAAATAAAACATGAATTGTAAAATAATAATTATGAATAAATGACTTTAACTGAAAACGTGCATTATAAAATAATTCCCACGACAAACTAATAGACATGATTTAAACACATATTAAAAGTGGAAGTTGAAATACGATGTACTTTTTCGTCCAATAATATGTCAACCAAAACTAAACAAATTTTTTAAGGTCAGCCACAGGGCGGCGAACGCCGCCTCGACACGGCGGCGTCGCCTCCGCCTCCTGGGGTCTGTCGTTTGGCAGACACAATTACCAAACAAATGGGAAGGGTTTTAATTTGGCCTCCTCCTAACCATAATAAAATATGATTAATTAAAATTCTTTTGTTCCAGTTGTTTATACACGATAAGGAATAAACGACGCCGTAGCAATATAAAATAGCTAAGAAGGCATCGCAGTTGGCATAAATTTAATGTCTTTTTGTTTGGACAAAACCATATCTGGTTTTGTTTGTCGGATTTTCCGAAAATTGTTAAGTGCATTGCACGACCATGGAATCTAAGATCTCTCTGTGTGTTTGGCTGGTTTTATAACATAATCTCTCTGTCTCCTTATGTTTTTCTTTCAAAATTAAGTCAAATTAAAACCAAATTTTTAAATATTAATTTTTTATATTGAGCCTTCACAAAAAATTCATATCAAGGTAAGTAGTATTATTCACTTGTAAACCTATTATTAAATTAACCAATGTAGGACTCACTCTCAATAATTATAATATTTCTTAAATAATTAAGAAACAGGGATGACATTTTTCAAGTTGAACTACGAGCCTCTGGGTAAGGAATTTAATACAAATTTGTTATGCAGACGTGGAATTTGGTATTGATCGTAGTATATTTAGCTCTTTAATTTTATATTTTTATATTTTAATTATTTTTTTGGGTGAAGACTAAAGACTTAAGGCATGAAAGCGAATCTGCTAACCTAATTTAAAAAAAGAAAAAAAAAATATACTAATATTTTCATTTAATTATTTAATTAAATAATATATATAATATGCGTCAAATACCACACCCAAAATTATAAAATTGAAATTAATTTCAAGATATTCTAAAACAGCTTAANTATTAAAAACCTAATTGAATTAAATTAAAAATGGGGGTAGAGATGAGATGGAGAATTATTTGGGTAGATTTTGACAAACTTAAGTTTGATTGCGTAAAACGCAAGAAATTCTAGAACCAAAGTTGGGAATTTAATTAATTAATTTATTTATTTTGAGTTGGTGTTAGGTAATAGATATTAAAGGGTTAAACTAATTATATATTTTAATTTCGGATGCCAATATAGGGTGATTGAAACCAATATAAATTAGATGAAATGAGTCAAGAACCAGTCGAGATTGACGATTTAAGCAAGATACGTGAAGTTATTAGAATTGCATGAACTATGTATTGATCGATCATAACGTGCAAGGAGTAGTTTGTGGTCTTTTTCGACTATGCAATTGAGATCAAATATTGACAATTCTCACTCTCAGATAGTGAATAAGAGTCTCGAGTAGCATAGTGTATGAGCGTGACATTTGAATAAATGAGGAGTATATGAATGAAACAAGACCACTTTTGTATGAGTGTAATCATTGTTGGATGATAAAAGTCCCACATCGGCTAATTTAGGGAATGATCATGAGCTTATAAGTGAGGAATACTAACTCCATTGGTATGAGACCTTTTGGGAAGTTCAAAGCAAAGCCATGAGAGCTTATGCTCAAAGTGGACAATATCATACCATTAGGGAGAGTCGTGTTCGTCTAACAATCATGAGGATAGGATAAAAACTCCATAATTAAACATGTTTTGCTTAAAGCAATTATATTTTGGGTGACATTTTAAAATTTTTTATAAGATACATGTGAGTGAGGACAAAATATGTTGGAAAAACTCGTGTTTGTTTGTGAAGATTATCTTCACCCTTAAAAAGTGAGTTGCATGGGAATGTTAAGATCATCATGGGTAAAATCTTAATTTCGAATCTTGGACATAAGTCGTTGCAACTAGGGAATGCGAACATAGGGTTTTTAATATGTCCATTAAATAGGGCAAAATTAATTGATATTTAATATGTTTCCATAATTTAATTAAATAAATATAAATAAATAAAACATGAATTGTAAAATAATAATTATGAATAAATGACTTTAACTGAAAACGTGCATTATAAAATAATTCCCACGACAAACTAATAGACATGATTTAAACACATATTAAAAGTGGAAGTTGAAATACGATGTACTTTTTCGTCCAATAATATGTCAACCAAAACTAAACAAATTTTTTAAGGTCAGCCACAGGGCGGCGAACGCCGCCTCGACACGGCGGCGTCGCCTCCGCCTCCTGGGGTCTGTCGTTTGGCAGACACAATTACCAAACAAATGGGAAGGGTTTTAATTTGGCCTCCTCCTAACCATAATAAAATATGATTAATTAAAATTCTTTTGTTCCAGTTGTTTATACACGATAAGGAATAAACGACGCCGTAGCAATATAAAATAGCTAAGAAGGCATCGCAGTTGGCATAAATTTAATGTCTTTTTGTTTGGACAAAACCATATCTGGTTTTGTTTGTCGGATTTTCCGAAAATTGTTAAGTGCATTGCACGACCATGGAATCTAAGATCTCTCTGTGTGTTTGGCTGGTTTTATAACATAATCTCTCTGTCTCCTTATGTTTTTCTTTCAAAATTAAGTCAAATTAAAACCAAATTTTTAAATATTAATTTTTTATATTGAGCCTTCACAAAAAATTCATATCAAGGTAAGTAGTATTATTCACTTGTAAACCTATTATTAAATTAACCAATGTAGGACTCACTCTCAATAATTATAATATTTCTTAAATAATTAAGAAACAGGGATGACATTTTTCAAGTTGAACTACGAGCCTCTGGGTAAGGAATTTAATACAAATTTGTTATGCAGACGTGGAATTTGGTATTGATCGTAGTATATTTAGCTCTTTAATTTTATATTTTTATATTTTAATTATTTTTTTGGGTGAAGACTAAAGACTTAAGGCATGAAAGCGAATCTGCTAACCTAATTTAAAAAAAGAAAAAAAAAATATACTAATATTTTCATTTAATTATTTAATTAAATAATATATATAATATGCGTCAAATACCACACCCAAAATTATAAAATTGAAATTAATTTCAAGATATTCTAAAACAGCTTAATTAATTAATTTATTTATTTATTTTGCCTGCTGTTGAGACGGTCAAAGAATCTATAGATTCAAAATCTGTTAACCTACATTCATGAAGCTCAACAATACATTCGAAAGTCGCATTTTAAAGTATGAAAAATTAATAATTAATATATTATTTTTTTCTTCAACTCAAATATTAATTTTATTTTTTTAAAAATGTTAAATATTTGAAGTTTTAATTTGTACTAAATTGGTAATTTTTATAATATATTATTAATGAGAATAATAGGAAAGAGGGGGGTTTCTAGAAGGCAGGTCAGTGGCTATACATTTATAACATAAAAGACAAAAAAATAAATAAATAAAGCGAAATAAGGAAAAAGGCTTCGAGAAGGGTAATTGTGTAGAGAGAGAAGAAGGGAAAGAGGTTTGGTGAAGGATTGGACCGGCGGTCCGGCCGTCCCCATCGCTGATGAAAACGAAAACAACGCCCACTTATTAATAAAAATAGTTACTAATATTATTAAGGAAATGTCCCAATTTTGGTTCAATTTTAAAGAATATAGCAAATTAAAAATTTTCAGTAAGTTCCAGCTCAAAAGATTTATTTTAAATATTTTATATTTTTACTGAAATAATAATAATAATAATAATAAATAAATATGGTCAGAGAGTTGTTCAAATTTTAAAGAATTATTACATGTTGTAATTAAATAATTAACCTACTCTGATGATATAATAACTATTATAAACAAATAAATTTTAATCAATTCATTATAATTATAATTATAATTATAATTACTCGTTGAATCCATATTTGATTGAAATTGCAACCATCCATAAGAGGGTTAATTTTGGGAATAATCATATTTGTAGTAGTTTTCAAAACAATAATTTAAATAATGTTGAAAAAACCAAATTACCATAATAACCACGATGACCGGAAATGAATAATTGAGATTTGAGTTTTTAAAGCAAATTTTAGTAAATTCGTATTTTTTAAAGCAATTTGTTTTTTCGTTTCCATAATTATGAATAAAAATATCCAAGTAGCGGCCTTGCAATACAGCCCAAAATCCATCACCTGCCTCTTTGGGCCCGAAGCCCATTTTCAGGCCCAAATAAAGCTTTAGCCACACGTATACGACATCGTTTGAGCAACGACAAATAAATCATTGAATATATTTATGCTGTTTTTTTAATAATTAAAGAATCACACAGATAGAGTGTAATAAATTAAATTTGTAATTTAATCCGATTTAATGATTTGAGGAAAAAGAAAAAAATAACGATAATAAATTGGACGATGCCAGAAAAATCATAAAACCTTATTTACTTTAATAGTTTTTTCATTGCCACGTGGCGACAAGTCTGGTTGAAATAATTTTATTATTGCATTTTCATTTTCACCATTCAAAATAATTTTTGGCTAAATTATGAAAATATATTTAAATAATCTCTATAAACTCTCAATAAATTTATTATTATTTTTTATTTCCAATTTCGATGTATGTTTTCAAATAAAAAAAAGAATAAAGCACTTAAAAATTAGTTAAAAACAACCACTTTATTGGTTTTCGATTAAAATAAATACAAAGCAGTGCAATAATCCATTGAATGGTCTTAATCATGCTTGAAATAGAAAAGCCTCGATTAAGGGAATAAACAAAATTATTCCTTATTTTAAGTATATAAACTTATAATTATTTATTGAGATCCGAAACATTCCGTTTTGAAATTTGTCTATAATAGGTGCGTTTAAAAGTCATGAAGGGAAAGTATAAGTAAGACAATATCTATTAGTTGTGAGTTTAAACTATTATAAATGGTATCAGAGTCAAACATGAGACGGTGTATGAGTGAGAAACGTTAGGCAGCCAACGAAGTGGATTGTGAGGTCCTAAAATGTGTTGTTTAGAGGGAGGAAAATAGGGGAAGTTTTGGGTTATGGGACAGCAGAAAGACAGGACAGCTCAGTCTACAGTGGACGGTCCACGGTCGTAGGTCCACAGTCCACAGACCACAGCACATCAGTCATGGAGAAGAAAACCAGACGCAGAGAGCAGAAAGAAAAATATATATTGTATTTTCCCAACACCATCCTTATAGAATAGATACACACTAAGAATTTTTTTTAAATATTATTTTGAAAAAAATAAGAAAAAACATATTTTTGATTCTAATCAGACCTTGTCTTTTGAATTTTTTGTACAAAACCCCGTCTTTTTCTCTGTTTGACTGTGGGCAGAAATTGAAATTGAAATTGAAATTGAATTGAAATTGAATTGAAATTGAAGGCAAAGGCATTTTGGTCCTCAGCTTTCGGCTCTTTTCTTTCTTCTTTCTCTTTCCCCGTTTTGCTCTTAATTATACTCTCTTTGCGTATACTTATCTCTCCCCTTCCAATTCCTTTTTTTATTCTTTCAATCAATTTAATACGATTCTTGATTAAACCCCTCTTCACCCAAGAACACGACGAGTTTGTTCACTGCTTGTATCCGCCAAATCTAGGCGGCGCTTCGATTCCGCCACCCTTTGCGACGGTCCTCTTTCGAAGCAGATCTTTACTTTGAGGTGGGATTTCACTGTTGCTGTCTCGTGGGGATTCTTCAATTTGATCCAACAGTTTTTTTTTGTAGGTCATCCGTATGGAATTCTGTACTTTCCTTTTTGATTTCCTGTTATTTTATCTGGGTTTTGATTGGATTGCATTTTATCTTCATGTTCTATGTGCTCTGTGAACTGTTTATTTGAATTGCAAGTGAAAATGAGAGTCGAGATTGAATCAAGTTTGAAGTTCGTCGTTAATGGGTTTTGATTTTTTTACTGCATGCTTGAAATGGGGTTTTGATTTGTAGGCTGGCTTTGAGGATTTCAATATGAGCGAGCATTTTCGAAGGCAATTGGAAGTCCATTTGATTGCAATGAATCTTTGTGTGTATCACTAGTGTTCTTCAGTGTTCTATGCTGTCTCATTTGAGTACAAATATGGGTTTACTCTGCAGCAGAAGTCGTCACTACAATGAACAAGATTCTGAAGAGAATGCGCAGGTGAATGAACATAGTGCTTTTGGTATCTTGGATTATTTGTTGAATCTCGAGTTCGATATGATCTTAGTCGTGTGCTTTTCCAGGCTGCTGAAATAGAGAGGCGGATTGAACAAGAAACAGAGGCTGAAAAACATATACAGAAACTTCTTTTGCTTGGTAAGTGTATTTTGATGTGAGACACCACGTCGGTTGTAGAGGGGAACGAAACATTCCTTATAAAGGTGTGGAAACCTCTCCCTAGCATACACGTTTAAAACCGTGAGACTGACAGCAATACATAACGGACCAAAACGGACAATATCTGCTAGTGATGGGCTTGTGATGTTATAAATGGTACAAGAGCGAGACATCAGGAGGTGTGTCAGTGAGGACACTAGACCCTAAGGGTGGATTGTGAGATCCCATATCTATTGGAGAAGGGAACGAAGTATTCCTTGTAAAGGTGTGAAAACTTCTCCCTAGCATACGCGTTTTAAAACCATGAGGCTGACGGCGATACGTTATGGGCAAAGCGGACAATATCTGCTAGTGATGAGTTTGAGATGTTACAAATGGTATCAGAGCTAGACATTAGGCCGTGTGCCAGCGAGGAGCTAGGCTCCCAAGGGGGTGGATTGTGAGATCCCATATCGGTTGGAGAGGGGGTTAAACGAAACATTTCTTATAAGGGTGTGGAAACCTCTCCCTAACAGACGCGTTTTAAAACTGTGACGATACGTAATGGGCCAAAGCGGACAATATCAGCTAGCGGTAGGCTTAGGGTGTTACATTTGACCTCACGTTACCTTTGTGATATTTGTATAATTGGTGAGGAACCAACTTGTGTAGGTGCTGGAGAGTCTGGAAAGTCCACCATTTTTAAGCAGGCAAGCCCATTTATTCTTTACCGTCGTAATCCGCAAGGCCGTAACGAAGTTGGTTCACTAACATTTCTTGAGTTGTTGCTCCATTTTTTTCAGATAAAGTTGTTGTTCCAAACTGGCTTTGATGAGACAGAGCTAAAGAGCTACATTCCAGTCATTCATGCAAATGTGTATCAGACTATAAAAGTATGCAATATTTGAAAGGGTGTGTTGGTTATTTCCCTTTCTGCACGATTTAACGAGCAAATGATTTTGTCCAAAATTTTTAAAACATAATATCAGAACCCTTTGATTCGAGATGCGTTCATTGTGTATTTTGATTTTTGAGTGCCAAAAACGCTTAAATCTTTTGATGCAAAGTGTGTTGATTTTGTACTTCTTGTTAAGTCAAGAGCTGTAACCTCTTATTGAACCCGATGTTTCAGGTATTACATGACGGTTCAAAGGAGCTCGCTCAAAATGATAAAGAGTTCTCGAAGTATGTTTTATCCAATGAAAATAAGGTATTAATTGTACCTTCCCAAGTTTTGAATTAGGAAAGTTTTCATGAACTAACCAATAGATCACATTTAAGCTTTGATGCTTATTATTATCCCTGCATGTGATTTCGAACTAGGAAATTGGCGAGAAATTATCGGATATCGGAGGTAGATTGGATTACCCGCGTTTGACTAGGGAGCATGCAAAGGATATAGAGACTCTTTGGAAGGATGCTGCGATTCAGGTAGCTACCGCTCCATGTAGATTAGCTAGTGGCATCTTTAAAATGAAATCCACTATGATGCTTTGTGAGATCCCACATCGATTGGAGAGGGTGTGGAAACCTCTCCCTAGTAGACCCGTCTTAAAATCGTGAGGTTGACGGTGACACGCAACGGGCCGAAGCGGACAATATTTACTAGCGGTGGGCTTGGGCTGTTACCAATGATATCAAAGGCAGACACCGGGATGTGTGCCAGCAAGGACGCTGGCCCCCAAGGGGGTGGATTGTGAGATCCCACATCGATTGAAGAGGAGAACAAATCTTATAAGGGTGTGGAAACGTCTCCTTAGCAGACGCGTTCTAAAACTGTGAGGCTGACGACGATACGCGAGGCGAAGTATACAATATCTACTAGCGGTGGGCTTGGGCTCTTACATGCTTCTTATTTAAAACTGTTTTTTTTTTTAATCTTCTTGTATTAAGGTCGTATTCTCTTTGTAGGAAACGTATTCACGTGGTAATGAACTACAAGTTCCAGATTGCACACAATATTTCATGGAAAATTTGCAAAGATTATCTGATGCAAATTACATTCCGACTAAGGTATTCAATTTAATGATATATCTTTAGCTCAAAGGGTTAGAAAAGGCTCTAAATGAAGTTTTAGTTTAATCAATATCCCTTCCTTCTGCCATTATAGATTCTGGCTCGTGTTTGAGCGTTCTTTTACAATGTAATTAGTATCGAAATTTAATCATTTGTGTACGTATCAGTTAGCTTCCTTTCTTATATGCTTTTGATCACAGGAGGACGTCCTATACGCAAGAGTTCGTACAACCGGTGTTGTTGAAATTCAATTTAGGTAAGCCTTCATTACACTTTTTCCTTAATCGTGAAATCTTTGTTTTAGTTAATTACGGTATCGATTTGATTTTGGCAGTCCCGTTGGAGAAAATAAAAAGAGCGGCGAAGTGTATAGACTCTTTGATGTTGGTGGTCAGAGAAACGAGAGGCGAAAATGGATTCATCTTTTCGAAGGTGTTACAGCAGTAATCTTTTGTGCTGCTATTAGTGAGTAAGACCTCATTCTTTTAACCCGTTTATGATTCTGTGGCGGTCTTGATAAATGTAGAAGGTAAAAGAAAAGGCTAGACATTGGAATCTGAAAATCTATGCCCTTCTCGTTGATGTTTACGGAGTTACGACTGGGTTGTCGTTGTCGGGGATGCTCCCAGAAGCTGATGGGATATACCATTTTGGAATATGTGATTGTGCAATAAAGTCTTTTAGTACCTTCTTTTCTCTTGTTTTCTCTTCATCTGTTTTCTTTTGGAGTGGGTGGGACTATGTTGGAAGGTAGCTCTTGGAAGGTAATGAAAAGATGAATTAAATAGTGTGAAATGATGGAGGAAAAGATCATAAATAATTTGCTGCTGATCTAACAACCCATGTGAAGATAGTGGTGACATGATGAGACTCGTCTATTTCACGTGTCTTTTTTTTTTTTTTGGATGGTTGGGCTATCGAGCGGTTCCACTCTTTGTATTACGTTCATAGCCCATCCCACTAATGTCAAGAGACATCTTTTATGTGAGATTCCATATTGGTTGGAGAGGGGAACAAAGCATCTCTTATAAGGGCATTTTAAAATTGTGTGGCTGACGATAATACGCAACGGGCTAAAGCAAACAATATTTGCTAACGGTGGGATTGGGCTATTACAAATGGTATCAAAGCTAGACACTGAATGGTGTACCAGCGTCTTCGCTGGGCTCCTCAGGGGGTGGATTGTGAGATCCGCATTGGTTGGAGAGGGGAATGAAACATTCCTTATAAGGGTGTGGAAACCTCTCCCTAACAGAAGCGTTTGACGACGGTACGTAACGGGTCAAAGCATACAATATCTATCGGCTGTGGGCTAACTTACCTTTTAAGGGTCATTGCATTAAATTTAGTGCATTACCATGAGGCTTGTTAGATTCAATGGGTTAACTAATAACTATTTCAGGTATGATCAAACACTTTTTGAGGATGAACAGAAGAACCGAATGATGGAGACCAAGGAACTTTTCGAGTGGGTTCTGAAACAAGAGTGTTTTGAGGTTATCTTTTCTGCATTGTTACCGTTTGCGTGATCGACTGTATTTAATTTGATAATGTTCTTTTCACGAGTTGATAATGTCTTCTCTCTGGTTCCATTCCGGGTGCAGAATACGTCATTTATGCTTTTTCTTAACAAGTTCGATATCTTCGAGAAAAAGGTTCTAAACGTAAGTGTTGATGGAGGATATTACAACGACGAGGCCATCTTGGATAGGTCCTCAATGAGATACTAACACGAATTAGCTTCTTGTGATAGGTCCCTCTCAGTGTATGTGAATGGTTTAACGATTATCAGCCGGTTTCGACTGGAAAACAAGAGATCGAGCATGCCTATGAGTACGTATCCATCACCTGGGACAATGCTGCTGCTTTTTTCCTCTGAAGTTTTTCTAAAATGACCTTACTATCAATGAATTCAGGTTCGTGAAGAAAAAATTCGAGGAGTTGTATTTTAAGAGCACGGCACCAGATCGAGTAGACCGGGTGTTTAAGGTATACAGAACAACTGCTCTCGATCAGAAACTTGTAAAGAAGACGTTCAAGCTCGTAGATGAAACATTGAGGCGGCGAAATCTGTTGGAGGCTGGGTTATTGTAACCTTGTTTAACAGCTTCCTCCTCACCACACAAAAAAATGGAAACTGGTTGATCTTGTTTGATGAACAAACTTATATTGGATTGTGATTTAAGCGATTCATTGATTCAAAACATTGTGTCAAATTAAATCTTTACCTATTCTATGAAAGTTGAAATCTCTTTAACTATATGTAATTTGATATTCCAAATTGTTGTGAGTTTGAATGTAAGCTATCTATGACATGATTTTGGTTTCTCTCAAATATATTTAAAATGTTATTTTCGAAATTAAAATTTTCATCTTATTCATGAAATGAACTATAAATTGAACCGATGAAGATTGCTAAGAGGGCTCGTTTTTGCGCGCGTAATGCCTTTGATTGCGAGGGAACTGCGATCCGCTTCCAAAATCCCCGTTGCATCGCTTTGCTTCCTCTCATTCTAGAGAATCGAAATAGCCTTTTCAATTCCCGACGACATTGATCTCCTTGTTTTCTCACGCTTCCAAGTCTCTGATTCTTTCGGAATCGATTACTGACTTCCGCTCAGGTGAGGTTTTCTCGATCGTCGATTTGAATAACTTTTCTTTCCGCATTGAATCTTCAGGCCGTTTCATTTAACTTTACGGCGATGTTGATTTTGTTGGTTCCGATGACAACTTTTGGGCCTGTTTATTGTGATTCATGATTGGTATGGCAATTTTTTTCTTTCTTATTTTCTGAATCCGCATCGTTTATGTTCTAATAGGTGCACTTTCCATAGAACGGTCTGTCATGATGTTGCTTTATCTGATTGATATAGTCTTGGGCGAACTTCGGAATAATTAAAATGAGCGTGTTCTGTTGATGGCTTGAGCATGGATATCTATTGAACGTTAATTTGCCTATTTTAGGTTATTCGCAACTTAGAAGCCATACATCTCCAAGTATCAATCTCTTTTACGAATCTCTCCTGTGGAAAATCTGGCATAATTCAAGAGATCGTTCATCGTTGCTCTTCAGCTTCATTGAATCTCCGTGGCGCTGGTTTTCATTGATCTTGATGGAGGCTCACCTCATATGCTTCCAATCGAGCTCTTTATATCTCATAGATTTGGAGGACATCTATTTTCACATATGAGTTTATTCATGAAGCCTTCAATTGCCTTTCATTTCAAAGATCGCTGGTGCACTATTGCTATGGTGCTCAAGAACACTGGGAGCAAACGTGACTAGGGCGGGAGATAGCCGATGATCTACATGGGCCAAATTCTAGAAGCTACGTTAAGAGCATTGAAACTCCTGGGTGGATCCTCCTTGTAGGGCTTCGGCCCGGTGGGTCATTTCTAGTTTAATTTGTTTTTATTATTTTAAAAAATAAATTACTAGAGTCTTGGATTTTTTAAGCTGATTTAAATTTGGCCAAAAAAATATTAGTGTACTAAAATTTAACGGCAAAACCCCGTTAGTATTGTTTTAAAACAAACTTTAAATACTGTATTTAATATATTATTTAGCTTAAAGCTTTGAAGGTTATATAGTTAATGTCAAATGTGTGCTTCACTCTGTTTAATTAAAAATTATAATTAGTCCAACCTTCCTAACTTTTTTTTTAAAATAGGTTGTGGATAATTAAAAATACTACTTTCATTAGTTAATTATTTAATAAAACCTCAATTGTTCCTTCTAAGTTATGTAGAACTTTTTGTTACTCCCTGTGCCATTCATGTTTATTTATAAACACAATTACCCAAATACCCCTTCCTTATCCATTTCCTTTCCTGATCGTGATTCTTCCCCCAACTACATGTCGTTTTGTCTTAGTCATTAGATGGCAATGCAACGAAAAGTAGGATCGACTTGTCGCTCCTCCATCCATCATAATAATCTGGCTCCCCTCCCTCGGGAATTTCCCACTTCCATTTATTATAATTAAAATGCATTATTGATTACTTACGTGGCACGTGGCACCCTCCAATTTAACGTCGGAAATGACCACCTTATCCTATCCTAATCCTATGATGCTGTCTCCCTCCCCCAACCCAGCCGAGCCGAGCCAGAGCCAGAGCCGGATTTGGAAGGGACAAAGATCGTCTCCGAATTTCTATAAATCTCTCTCTCTGGGCCCCACCACCTCTTTTGGATAAGCATCGCAACACACCACCCGATTTTATGCTTCCGACTCGCCACGTCATCGCCTCTATAATCAGGTGCTCTCAGGTCTATTGTAATTTTCCATTCTGTGGGTAAGGCAACCCACACCAAATAAAATAAAATTAAAAAGAAAAAAAACAGCTAATAAATGTTAAGGAAAGTTATCCGGTATATTAAATAACTACCAAGTGGATGAGGATAAGGTTTTTTTTCCCTTCTTGCCTTACCTTACCTTGCCTTTTCATTAAATTATTCTTCTTTTAAACTTTTTTTTTTTAATAAAGAAAATTATTTGTTATCATTTTTTTCTCCTAATCTTATCATTATTTATTTATTTTTCCCAATTAATATCTTTCATCCATTTCTGATCTTGCCGGTTCTCCACGTGATTCCAATCTCGTCCGTCCATTTTTTTTATAATCCAAAATCCCTTCGATTCTTCGTTTATAAAAACCCATTTCCTCTTCTTTCTTCTTCTTCTCGTCTCTGTGTTCTTTTTTTCTCTCTTTTTTCTTTTTTCTCCTTGTTGTCACTGTTCAAATCTCAAGTCGTCATGTCGATTACTTTGGATAGGGTTCGGCGGGTTGATCAACACTCTGGATTCTCGCCGGAGGATTTGGGTTATGGATCTATGTTTGAGAGGTTGGAGACTGGGGATGTGGATCGCGGTGTTGAAGGGTTTGAAAAGGAGGCTGAGGAATCTAATACTTGCAGCTCAGCTTCAACTTCTTCGTCTTCTTCCATCGGGAGGAATAGTGATAAGTCCGCGAGATCGTCGGATGATGAGGATAGCGGCGAGAATGATGAGGTTCAGAGCTCCTATAAAGGGCCGCTGGATATGATGGACTCCTTGGAGGAGGTTTTGCCTGTCAGGTTCGTGTTCTTTCTGTTTGATGATCTTGTTTTTCATTTGTTTTGGATGCTGTGAACTCGTACTTTCTTCCGCGAATCTTAGTTTGGTCATTGCAAATTGCAAATCGAAATCGTTCATTGTCTCGAGTTAAATTTGATGGATGATCTGGAACGAGCGTGTTGAATATACGGTTGGTGAGGTTGAAATGTTAGGGAAGGCTTAATTGAGCTTGAATATTTAATACTCTTGTAGTACAATGAACTAGGGAGTGGAGATAGTTAACCTGCCCTGCAGAATGTTGGAGTCATTCGATCTATGCTTCATCAATTGCTTTTGCTTCATTTTGGACTTATTACTGGGGATTACGTTACATGCTGGCGGTGACTAGTAGTTATTGCTGATGAACAGATAAAATATTTACATTCGACTCTTGGTAGATTCATTATTGTGGGCATGAATAAATCATGGCCTGTACAAATCTGTTTGTTTCTTTAATAAAGATTAATGCAATGATAAATTCGAGATAACTATATGTTATCGGAGGCTTAATAATGAGAAAAGAGAGCATTCCGAAGCTGAAGATTAGCAAATGACCCCGTTTTTTAATACACTTCAATCATGAGTTTCCGGTCGAATTCTTTATTCATCTTTCTTGCCAATCTCTGTAGCGGAGATTGTGTTTCTGAGATATTCTTAAGCTAAATCAGAAAGAAATCATTGCTTTGCAGTGCTTTATAAAAATTGTTCTGCGACACTGCAAAACGTTAACTACTTATAATTTTAGCATATAACTTTAGAAACACTGTGCTGTTGAGATTGGGAAAAAGGATCGAGTACCTGTTATACATTCAGGTTTTTATGCGATTCTGCACTAGATTGTTCCTTTATCTAATAAGAATTATTGGTACATGCAGAAAAGGTATCTCAAAGTTCTACAATGGAAAATCGAAGTCTTTCACGAGTTTGGCCGATGCGTCCACTGTTTCCTCAGTGGAGGAGATTGTGAAGCCAGAAAATGCCTATTCCAAGAAACGTCGGAATCTTATGGCTTTCAATCTGGTGTGGGAGAAGAACCGGAGTTTACCCCTCAAGAATAACGGTGGAGGGATATCAAAGAGACCCATCAGCTCAAGCAGGAGCTCCTTCGCTTTGGCCGTTGCTATGAGCAGCTCCGAAAGTAACAGCAGTGAGGAATCAAATTGTAGCTCATATTCAAGCTCTCCACCGCCTCGCCCACCTCTGCATCCACAATCCAAAGCGTCTAGCAATCTGGCTTCCATTGTGCCACCACAACGAAATTTCTCCACTTGGCGTTCATATTCCTTGGCTGATCTACAAGAGTGTGCCACCTCTGCTAATAAAGCCAACCTAACAAATCTAAACTGACCCGGGAAATTTCCTTCTCTTGCATAGGTACGCAAGAGTCTTTTTAACTATTCTAGGGACCCTGAGGTTTTTTCTAGTCTGATTTTTGGTCTTATGGTCGTTACTGTACTCTATATTAAAGACCAAAACTTTCATGTCTCGTTGTTTATAATGAAATGGGGTGAGTCGCATTTTTCAACACCTGTCTGGATTGGCCTAAGACAACCATACCATCCACCTACCCACACAAACAAACAGCCACCTCGTAGGCTAGTTTGCCCAATGCAACCATAACTTCCAAATTCTGTTTGGTTCACCAAGATTGATAGCCTGATTGGTTGAGCAACTTCTAAGACCGTTCTTACGCTTTATCGAAACATTGAATGAAAAGATACAACCACAACGGATATAGTGACCTTCCACAGTCCATCTCCCAGTAACGTTCAAGGACATCTGCACGTTTCGACACATTTGGTTCACACTTTACAGGATTTGGGTCCCTGATATTCTTAGTTTCCCAGCTTCATGTATGGTTAGATTTAACTACGGCTTTGTTATAGACCTTGAGAATGTAAACATGCTCATTGCTGCAATTTGCTCGTTGCCTAGGCATTTGCAAGCATTCCCAATGGCATTGATGAGTTTATTTTGCTGATTGCCGTTCAATGTAGATGAACTTTCTTCTGCTGGGTACCGAGATGCGAGAATTTTGATGATGTCGTTGTAGTTGTATTGTTCTGCTCCTTTAAATAATATATTATTCTGCTGGGTACAAGTGATCCAGCAGAAGAACCAGTGGCCAAACAAAACTGTTGGCAAGTTGGTTTATTGCCCTTGAAATCATTGCCTAGTTAAAGTTAATTGACAAACCTTACACTAAACAGAAACATGAAGCCCCTGACCAAGTGAATTATTGCTGCCTTGCTGTTAACACTTTCAAATGCCATCAGCCTCTCACTCATCATCAACTACTAGCCTGAGAGCATGAAAGCCCATGATAAACACAAGGCCAGCCCCAGTTTTCAAACTCAATGTGTCCCACACCCCAAAAATCACTCAGTTAATTGAAACAATAATTCTTTCCTTCCCAAAATCATTTCTACGTCTAGATCAACCAATACATCATGCATATATATGTCCATGCTTTGCTGCTTCCTACTTTTATAGCTTACACTACACATTAAAACAAGATGGTTGTTAAATCTTTTATACAGGTTTTCAAGTCTTACCCACAAAGCCAACCCTTCTTGGATGGCACTCTAAGTTGTAGAGGTTTGCCTAGCTTATTACTCACTGTTTTGTGATATAACCTCTCCAAACTTGAGGAAAAGCTGAGCATCTGACGTGCTCATGGATGGGCAGTTCAGCACGTGCGGCGTTTTTAGATTTGTATACTCATCCCTGTAGCAAGGGGATTTTGCAGATGGGGGCATGGTTGGTGTTTGTTTTGGAACTGTGGCAGAGGGCAGAAGACTCTCAATGACGCGCGTTACTTCGTGCATCGTTGGTCGATCGGATGGCTGCCTCTTGGTGCAAAGGAGAGCAAGCTGAAACGCCTTCTTTACAGCTCCAAGGTCCTTGCAAGTTGCAGTTATTTCAGGATCAACTGTCTCCATTACAGCATTGTTGGCTGCTTTTGATAAGATCTGAGATATATGAAAGAACAAGAGAAAAGAACAACATCAATATCGCGGCACTTAAAAGAACTAGAGTTAGTAAAGTAAATCGTACAATAAAGTTGTACTAACCAATTGGTGGAGATTTGATTCATTGTCCACAGCTTTCCTTCCTGTGAGCAATTCAAGTAACACAATGCCAAAGCTGTAAACATCAGACTTTTCGGTAAGTCGAGAAGTACGAGCATACTCCGGATCAATGTATCCAATAGTTCCCATGATGTAAGTGGACGTATAAGTCTTCGAGGTACATAAGCTCTTGGCTATACCGAAATCAGTGAGATGAGCTTCAAAATCCTTGTCTAGCAGAATGTTTGATGACTTGACATCCCTGTGGATAATGCGAGGGCTACAATCATGGTGTAGATATGATAGCCCTTGAGCTGCTCCATGAGCAATATTGAGCCGAGTGTCCCAGTCCAGCTTTTTCTTCCTGGTAGAGCTAGAGCCTGTACAAATCTAGATTTATTACTCTCAATTTATGCAGATCAACTAAAACATGTAAGGCATAGTTTTGACGATATAACAACTATTAAGTGGCATCTTACAATGCAGATGATCCCAAAGACTGCCGTTTTCCATATAGTCATAGAAGAGGAGATTCCCAGAGGGAGATAAGGAATATCCTTGGAGGCTGACCAGATTTCTGTGCTTGATGCTACCCACGGTTTGGAGTTCGGTCTCGAATCCCTTCATGCTATGTGGCTGGTGAGAGTAGAGCTTTTTGATAGCCACAGGTTTGCAGTTCTTGAGTACACATTTGTAGACTGTGCTTGAAGCTCCATATCCAATAATGTACTTTTCACTCAAATTTTCAGTCATCCTCATAATATCCTCATACACATGAAGTGCCATGTTCATGTGAAGCATCACTAGCTTGGGAGTTGAGTAAGTAACTGAGCATAATAGAATGGTTTAGTATTCAATTATTGAGAGCTAAAATACATTACAAACCACATTCAAAGCACCTGGTTTATCAAGTGATCCTTCTGGAAAAGGTATTGTGTTGTTTGGACGGCACACTGTCAGAAGGATCATCAGAAGGATCGCAATGACACCAAGAGCAATTCCCAGGATAACAGCTTTGGATATTGTCACTGCATTCAAAGCAATATATGGCAGATTTCGTTATTGAATCCCTCACATTACAGATAAAACTACATTTTCTTCATTATATTGGTGATTGTTCAGCCCAGCTTCAGCTTGCACGCACTTCGACTATTTTTATGGAAGAGTCGCTTAACTCTATTACATTTGCAAATACAACTATCAATACCGTTCAAAACGCATAATTACCTCGCTCTGTCGTCTGAGCTACATGACAGGGATAGTTGTTGCTATTCCAATATCCACATAGAGCAAGATTTCCAAGAAAACTGAAAGTAAACATACATAAGGGTCAGGAAATCTCTCATTAGAAGTTTTAAACGAGGGGAAGCTCGAAAGAAATGACCCAAAATGGACAATATATGCTAGGGTTTGAGCCATTACACTAGGCAATGTGCCAACGAGAACACTGGCTCCCATGAGGGGTGGATTATGAGATCCCACATCGATTGGAGAAGGAAACGAACCATTCCTTGTAAAGGTATGGAAACCTCTCCCTAGTAGACCCGTTTTAAAACTTTGAGAGGAAGTCCAAAAAGGACAATATTGCTAGTCGTAGGGTTGCCATTACAATAAGCGAGTATCCATTAGATTTCTTTGGTGTTTCTTTTCTACCTTTCTTCTCGTTCCAAACTCAATCCAAATATGAAAATCAAATTAAAAGTTTTTACCTGTCAGACGAGAACCTAGAAAAGTTGTTGCTTGTGGGAATATCACCACCCAGATTGTTGTAAGATACGTTTCTGTAAGGATCAGTTTAATGACTTAGTAACACATCTCCTGTGTCAACATTATCCCAACACTTAATGTTCGAAAGTACGACAAACTTACAATTCGGTAAGGCTTAGGCAGCTAATCAGCGACATCACGTCCCCCGATAAATTGTTGTTTTCAAGTCTCCTACATCAGTTTCATCATGAGTAGGACACATACATAAATACTTCAAACACTTAGCAGATGAAACTCAGGCCATAGTGTCAGTAGAACGACGGGATAGCAAAAGGGGGGGGAGGAGATATCAGTTCATGACATGACCGAGCCTAAATAAGTGTCTACAAGCCACGAACATAAGCTTACAACCTATGATAGCTCCTATTTCATCTCTTGGTAATAAAAAATTCCAATTTCAGAACTTACAAGGAGAACAGGTTTTGAAGTTGACTCAGTTCTTGAGGAATGATCCCAGAGAGCTGATTGTGTGAAATATCTCTACAGAATACCAACAAAAATACAAGAGAATCAGACTCAAACACTGAAGTTCCTGCATTCAGATCTCCACTTCCCAACCAAAAAAAGGGACAAAAATATCTTACATTTGCATTACACTCCTTAGATTGCCAAATTCAGCTGGAATAGACCCCGTTAATTGATTCCTACTTAAATTCCTAAGAACATTTAAGAACAAAGGTCAGTCAGTAATTTCAGCTCAAAGACATGGTTGGTGATTAGAAAATGAGTTAGAGATGATACATACAGCTTTAGGAGATGTTCGAGATCGCCAAACGATGAAGAAATCGTGCTGCTAATTTTGTTATTTGAGATGTCTCTGTGCAGCAACGATGATTTAGTATGAGAAAATGGAAAAGGGTGAGTGAATTTAGATCCCATATACTTACAGCGTGTCGAGATTGCCAATGCGAGATAGCTCAACTGGAATAGGACCTCGTAGAACATTAGAGGAGAGATTCCTGCAGATAGACAGCCAATATGAAGCAGATTTTATGATGTCCGTCCTAATGAACGGAGAAGAAGCTCTTAAGCTCTTAAACAACTCGACTTACAAGTACGTCATACTCTCTAGCTTCTCGAAAGACGGCGGGATAGTTCCATTCAACTTGTTGCCATGAACATTTCTGAAACCAACAAATCTTAACTGTCTTAATGAATAGCAGATGGTTCTGAATGGATTCAGAGTTTGGATTAGATTCTTACAGGCTGTTGAGATTTGTGCAAGAGCTAAGATTATCAGGGATAGGACCTTCAAGATTGTTATTAGCAACGTTTCTGCAACACGACGCTTCATCAGTTTCAGAATGAGGGATTGCAAAAGGCAGTCATAAGAACAGTATGATGAAGCTTACAGATCGAACAAATCGGTGAGTTTCCCGAGCTCGGCTGGAATATTCCCAGTAAGATGATTATCGTTCAATTCGCTGCAAAAGAAAAAAAAAATTACTAACATAATGGAGCTTTGTCATAGAGAGATCCACATTAATAGGAAGATAAATAAGACAGAAATGTTACAGATAATGGAGCTTCGTCATATTCCCGAGCTCTGCCGGGATGGACCCAGTGAGTTTGTTGCTATGCAAGTACCTGTATGCCATCATCGACGCCGCTCACCAGAATTAGTACTCAAAATGTGAGTTATATTACATTCTTAGATACATAGATAGCAAAAATAATGGGAAACAAGCATACTAGAAGCAGTAAAAGTATGCTTACAGTTTCTCAGTATAAGTCAAATTCCCTAAAATAGAAGGGATTGGACCAGTTAACATGTTGCAGCTCAAATCTCTGATTACGATATGGAGAAGTTAGAAACAAAGCCATAAACGAAACGGAGAGCGAGAATCAAGTGATAATGATCCTCCTTAGAAAAAAAATGGTCCATGAACTTGGTTGTGAAAAAGATTAAGTTGCTTACAGCACGGCAAGCGCCTGCATCAGACCGATTACCGGTGGGATGGGACCTGATAGCTGATTACCCTGCAGGGACCTGAACATAACAATTGAACATTGAAACACACACAAGGGGCATAGCAGCAGAAACAGTACGAAAATGAAAAATCACTTCATGAACACATACAACGTGGCAACTTGAAGAAAACCAATGTTGAATGGTATCTCTCCAGTGAGATGATTATACGAC